GGGGGGTGTCACCATCTCCAACCCGAGCCTCCCACTGCCCACCCAACTTCCAGCATATATTCCAACTCTGCCGAAGTGCGCCAGGGTCAGCTTCTGTTGCTTGCAACCCAAATCCCTCCACGGCAGAAGGCTCCCTATGGAGCATGGAGTCCGGAGTCCTGTGCACCTGGGTCCAGAGCTGCAGGAAGGAAATCACCTCGAATACAAAGAGCAGCTGGGGTGCCCTCTCTCCCCTTTCCTAGGGGCCAGGCCCACTTCCTCTGTAGGAAGTGGAGCCCTTCCACAGAGTGGCCCAAGAACAACTGGGCAGGAGGAGGCCCGGAGACCTGGGCCCCAGTAACACAGGAAGCAGAGCTGTCCCCCAGCAGACTGACGGTCCCCTCTATCTGGCCATATGAGGCAGAAATTACCTAGTCTATTGAAATCACTTTTTACTGCAGCACCTCAGCCTTGTCAAAAACAGACGATTCAAAAGCCTTTGGGGGAGCTTGAGGGAGGCGTGCATGGCCCCAAGAGAAGCAAGCCCCTTCTTCTTCCAGCCTCTCAGAAGCTGCCCTGTTCTCGGTTGGACGAGAGCATGGCGTCTGAGGGGGCCGGTCCTCCGACCAGCCCTCTGCCCCACCGACCCCCTGCCTGGCCCAGATGGGACAGCTCACCTTCTTCTCATCCCCGTCCTGCAGGAGGTGCAGGACACTCCTCCGGTCCCCCTCACGTTGCCTCAGGGAGCTGCCGTGGGGCTGGGGCAGGCTTGAGGGTGGGGACGTGCTTCGGCCCTGTGGGTCCACCCAGGTATAGATGTGGTTGGTGACGTAGCCCCCTGGGATGCGCCCTGCTGAGTACACGGACAGCACCAGCTTCTTGGAGCCCTTCAGAGCCTGCAGAGAGAGGGGCAAGCAGGTGAGTGGGAGGTAGGGGAGGTGAGGGATGCCTGCCCACTACCCCACCTGGCTTCCTCCCAGGGCTTCGCACACGGAGCAAGAGGCCAGTCCCGAAGTCCCCTACCTTATCCAGCCCCGAGTTTTGGCTCTATGGAGACAGGGAGAGCTGCCCACCCATGTCTTGACATGAAGCAAACACAAAAAGTCTGATCTCCGAGTGTCCCGCGCAGAAAGAGTTCGCCTTTCAGGCCTGGGGCTATCGATGCTTACAAGGTAGGTCCATGGCTTACATCTGGGAGCTTGGACATGCGGAGCATGTCTGCCACCCCTTAATAAAACACCTTGCTGTGCCTGGACTACGCAAACAGTGTCATGTACGGGGAGCACCTGCCCTCCTGCTGGGAAGGAAAGGTGCAGGCAATGGAGGATGAGGTGACCCGCCCCCAGTAAAAGCCTGGATGCTGCGTCCCCAGCAAGTTTCCCTGGTAGAAAGCATTTGGCATGCATTGTCACAAGGCAGAGCTGGAGCTACAAGGGGTATCCTGTGGCACTTGATCAGGAAGGGACTCCTGGAAGTTCATGCCTGGTGTCCCCCCAGCCTTCAACTCAGGCACCTTTTCTCTTGCTGATTTTTCCCTGTGATGTTTGATTGGAATAAATCCTAGCCATGTGTGTTAGACAGGGTTCTCTAGAGAAACAAAACCAGGACTCTTATGATTTTATATAGGTAGATAGACAGACAGATAGACACAACATAAGAAATAGCTAATTAGTCCACAGAGCACTACAAATGGCTCAGTTCAACTCACTTCCATGAGACAGTTAATACACTGGCAGTCCTTCAACTTATGAGGGCTGCTGGGTGCAAGTCCAGGAAGCAGTCAGCTGAGTCTTCTGTAGAGCAATACAGGCAGTCCGGCCACAGGCAGCAAACAGCAGGGCAGGTCACCAACAATCAGCCAGATGACAGGGTCTGACAGTCCCTAGCTGAAGTGAGGTATACACCAGCAGTGTGGCGAAGCAGATCTCAAAGGAACCTCAAACTACAACTACATGGTTCACAGGTTGGGTGTCCCATAGGTAGTGCAGCTCACAAGTTGAGGCAGAGAACTAGCCAAGGCAGCCGCACACTGGTACGATCATCAGAGAGCAAGAGACAGAAAGGCGAGGCTGGCCGAGCCATTTCTCTCTTTGTCCTTCAATTAAACTGCAACCTTATTAATCTCAGATGTGTTTATTGCCCAGGTTGGCACAATAATCCCACCTATCACAGCATGTGTGGAGCTAACCGCAAGGGTGGTAGGTCAAGCCCATTGGCTTTTCTTTGGGCAAAAGATGAGGCTTTCTGCTCCCATGAAGATTCAGTCTCAGGAACCTTATCTGCAGAGTGTCGCAACGCATCCGAATGCTCTTGTTGGTAGTGAGTGGGCGAGGACACCTGACTGACTGTATGCTGAGTCCTGCAAGCTCACTGCACAGGGGGGTGGTCTTGGGAACCCTGGCACAATACCAGATGGGAGAGCCAAGCGATAAAGGTATTGATCACAGCAGCAGGGTTGTGTTCATAGAGGGCATGCAGGTGGAAGCCCTCTCCTCTGCACGCAGACATGCAGGGGCTCACAAATCCTCCTGGAAGCCAATCCTGTGGGAAGGGGCCTGTTGTTTAGCAATGGTGAGAAATGCCCTCCCCACCCAGCTGGCTAGGGGCTCCTTTACCCCAGGAAGCGCTTTTGAATGTAGATACCCACCTTCACCCTGTATGTTCCCACCTGAGGAAGGAGCCTACCTAGGCACCCTCTGCCTGAGCCAGCAGCCCAGACTCTCCAAAGGAAAGCAGGTGCTCAAAGAGGGGTCAGTCTGCACCCACTGCCTTGGGAGAAAGCTGAGATGGGCTCTCTGACTTTCCCACAATGCCCCTCGAGCAGAAATCCGGGTGTTTACTCAAGGAGAGAGGAGTGCCTGGGTATGCAAACAACCCACTCACTGCACTTCTCAGGGAAAGGCTGGAAGTTCAAGTCCACCCTGAGGTTCCTTGGATGAAAAGCCTGGTGAGCCACATCCAAAAAACACTGTCACTCCCCCACCCCACCCCCAAAAAACCCCACCCAAACCCCAGCCACTGTAATCCCAACGGAGCACAGTTCTACCCTAACACACACAGGGTCACCCTGAGGTAGAAGCAGCTTGATGACAAGTTTTATTATTATTATTCAGGGAAACTTTAATATGAAGATTAACAGCCAACATGCCCCACAACTGGGGGCTGTTTGAGTAAGTGATGGTGTTGATACAAACAGAAATTTCATGCTGCCATTAAAATCATTACTTACAGGGAGTTTGTAACGTCACGAAAATGTGGATTCATGTTCAGTGGGGTCAAACGGCGATGCGTCCTGCCTACAGTCATCAAAGCCACGCTAAGAGAGAAGTCCAGGGACAAAAGAAACCAAGCAGCAAGGCGGCCAGGGGCTAGCCTCTGAGGGGTCTGCATTGTGGGTGACTGATCTTGGACTCCTCGGTTCAAACCCACCAGCAGTGCCTTGCGAGGAAGACAAGTCTGTCTGCTCCCGTAAAGACGTGCAGCCTTGGGAACCCTCAGGAGCAGCTCTACCCTGTCTTGTTGGGTGACTCTGAGTCGGAACCCACAGTGGGCTAGGGGCTGCTTCTGAGTATTTCCCAAATGTCCCACAGAAAGAAGGGCGGGGCTCCCAGCCCTCCTGAAGAGTGACAGCCTTAGCACCACGGGGTCACCAGAAGTCAGAATCAACTCCGTGGCACTGAGCTGGTTCGTTTGCTCTGAAGGGCATATTGCTTCTGTGATTGGAAAAACTAATCATATGCTTTTTGAAGAGGGGGACACCGGGTTCTCTGGCTCCCCCAGGTTGTCCCTCAGTTCCACAGACTCCCCCACAATCCCAACAGACACCACAAGCAGACAAGGCCGGCAGCAGCCTGCGCAGAGGGGAGGACTCGCTGCACATCCAGCCCTTGTGACCCTGGTGCCCCCAACAGGGGAGAGGGAAGTGGACCAGAAGGCGCCCCGTCCCTAATCCCACCGCTAACTGCCAGCCCCGAGGTGGAGCGGTAACAAGAGAATGGCAGGTCTCCAGAAATCAGGCTTAAAAAAGATTTCTGATAAGACGAGCAGGGGAAGATTTATGGTGTTCTTTTCCTGTTCCCAGGAGCTCTCCCGACAGATCAGTCAGGAAAATAAAATCTCTGTTAAGCCCAAAACCATGATGGAGGGGGGCCCAGACCAGGCAGGCTTCTGCCAGAGCGGAGTAGAGAGCGGCTCCCAGAGCATGACGGATAGGCGTTGTTAACCCTGGGTGAAGGGGCAAGCGGTCTTCTTCAGGAGGGAAAAGAGAAATCAAAGAGGGGCAGGGGCTGGGGTGGAGGGCAGAGGGTGGGGCATAGATAAGTAGTTTAAGTGGAACACAAAATTGATCATCTGAAATGCAAACCCCCACACATCACTTGCAAGTAAAAATAAAAAACATTAAAAAGACAGGAAAAAAGAAAACCTTCTACGGCACAGCTCCACCCGGAGCGGGGAATGCACCCCAGACAAAGCCAAGCAGGCCATGGCACCTTCTTGGCAGGCACCTTACCCACCCGACCAGAAGCCTTTCTCCATCAGACCGGAAGCCTGAGGAGAGCCAGGAGCAGAGGGACGCGTGTGGAAGAACACAGCTTGTGGAGACAGGCAGGACTTAAACTCCATTGCCTCTCTGCTCCTGTCCGCCGAGTGCCCAAGGGCCAGCACGCCCCGCCCCCTGCCCCCATCAGCAGTGCACATGAACTGGGGAGAAGCAATATACCCACTTCGGGGTTGGATGGCCTACATGGTGGGAAGCCCAGGGTCTCTGCACACAGTAGGAGCCCAGCAAATGGTAGAGCCCACTCTCCTCCGGTTGCTGGAGGGTCTGCATCAAGAAGGAAGACCGGGAAGGGTGGACACGCATGGCCTCAGGAGTGAAATAAGGAAGAGGAGGAGGGGAAAATGGAAACGTAAATAAAATTTAAAAGCACAAGAGGACCATTTGTATTCCTTATTGCGGGCGATAGTAGAATTCTCCTGGTCAGTTCTATAAATAGGCAGGCAGCAACCTTGAGAAGGGAGGGGGGGTGAACGCCTTCCATGTGAACGTCACGACAGAAGCCAGTGCCTGAGAGGCCCGGGAGGTCACCGTGTCTCCCAGATGCTGCACCCAAGGTCCCTGAGAGGGGAAACGGCAGCTGAGCACAAGGGAGGGCGAAGCACAGCCCAAGTGCTGGAGGTGGGCCCGAGAGGGCCCTTCCCCTCCCTGCGCCTCAGTTTCCCCACCCCAGGAGTGTGGGGCCAGAATCCGTGATGACCACCCAAGCTCAGGCTGTACCAGGCCCTCTGACACAGGCTTTTCCACATGGGGAATAGTGGTGGCCTTTGCAGGGATCCTAGAGAGCCCCCCAACATCTCTGTCCTCCCCCTCCCTCCCCACTGTTACTCCCGCCAAACTTAACAAGAACCAGGTTCCTGAGACAGCACTTCCTACATCCACGCAGGTTCTCCAAATATGATCTTGGTGCAGTGGCCATTGGAATCCTGCGGGAGCAGCTCCATCCACCACTCCTGAATTTAACTAAAACATGTGCACGCTGCGTGGGGGAGGAGGGAGAGGAAGGGGCTGGTGCTGCCGTATTCACAAACAACCGCCTGCTTCTTTTAATGGGCAGCACTCACCGGACAGTTAATTCCAAGGAAGCTGAGTGAGGAGTCTTGCCCAGTTAGCGCTCCCCTTGCCAGACTCCTATGCTCACTCAAGGTTGAGCCCTTGACCCTGAGCTCTGGGCCACCTCTGGCAAGCCCCATTTGCACAGATACAAGCTGAGCCGGCTCCCATCAGACAGCCATCAGCCACAGGGCAGGTGCGGGAGGGCTCAGGCCTGGGAGACCTAGACCCAGGCATGCTGGGTGGCCTGGGGCTGCGTCCTCCCTCTCCACCATGCGACTTCTA